ACTTATTCATTTGGTATGCTGAGCAAATAGTCTGAGAAACTGGACTATATGAAGAAGAGCATGACATCAGGATTGGAAGAAGACTCCTTAACAACCTTCTTTTTTTTTAATGTTTTATTGTGAATTATGTGATAGTTTACATGGGAGAAAATTAGTTTTACATTCATCCTATCCTATATTGTTTCATTGCCATGGTTACAATTCCTTCCATGCATCATCAACAAGCTTTCAAGAAGGAACCTAGATCCAGAGGGCATCAAGGAAGGTAGAATCTCCCCTGAGTAGTATCCCATCTGTCTGGGCAGGGCCGATGAATTAAAATGCGGATAGGTCTCTTGTGATATAATGATGAATAATTGTTATCAGAACTGATTGTGAGGGTTGGAAATGTAAAGGTAGACGTTTTATAGCAAGGAGGGGAGTGATTAACTTTGCAGCTTAGGAGCAGAGGTCCCTGGGACCATCAAGGGAGAAGAGCAGAGAGCGGGACCCTACCCAGAGAAGCTAGTGATGTCTGAGATGGAGGCAGAGACAATGACGTGGAGAGATGGAGCAGTTGGGGATTTTAACAACATTCTTTTGTTAGCTGAAAGTGAAGAGGAGATTAAAGCCTTCAGCATGCCTTACACCTCAACATAAAGAAAAGAAAATTTTTCACAATTTGATCACTACGTTGCTGTTGCTAAGTGCAATCGAGTAGATTTCGACTCACAGCGATGCTGTATAAGAGGTACAGCTGACCTTGCAGTTCAAACCAACCTTGTCCAATGCTTATCCTACAGTGCCACACCAAGACTCCTGACCAATCAGATCAGTACATCAAGATAAATGGAGAAAGACTGAAGTTATCAAGGATTTCTTTCATTTTACTTGGAGCCACAATCAATGCTGATGAAAGCAGCAGCCAAGAAATTAAATAATGTTTTACATTGGCCAGATATGCTATCAAAGATCTCTTTAAAATCTTAAAAAGCAGAGATGTCACTTTGAGGGCTAAGGTGCACCAGACCCAAGATATGACATTGTCAATTACCTCATATGCATGAAAGTTGGAGAACAAATAGGGAAGACCATAGAAGATTTGTTGTTGTTAAATGTTGTTAAGTGCCATAAACTCAGTTCCAACTCACAGTGACCCTGTATAAGGTTTTCAAGGAGTGGCAGGTGAGTTTAAACCACCGACCTTGTGGTTCCAACCAACCTGTAGTCCAGGGCTTATCCTATAGCACCACATCAGGACTCCTAAAGAAAAATTCATTCCCTTGAATTATGGTGTTGGTGAAGAATATTGACTATACCAGGGTCGCTCTGAGTCAGAACTGACTAGACGGCACTTAACAATAACAACAAACTGGAAGAATGAACAAATCTGTCTTGGAATTTTAACAGAATGTTAAATTAAGAAGGGAGAATGGTGACATTTTATCTCACATTCTGGACATGTTACCAGGAAGGACCAGCTTCTTGAAAAGGACATCATGCTTGGTAAAGTCGAGGTTCAGCATAAAAGAGGAAGACCCCCAACGAGATGGGCTGACACAGTGGCTACAACAATTGTGAGGTTGGTGCAGGGTCAGTGTCTCCTTCTGCTGTACAGGACATCACCGCAGTGAGTAGGAACTGATGGATCCAACTGTTGCGGCAGTGTGGGTCAGAAAGGACTTAACTCAAAAATCTTAAAGAGCAAAATTTATTGTCAGCAGCCAGAGTGTCCGCTCAAGCCCAAATCACTCTGACCTTGAAGCAAGCAGGGGGATACAAGAAACACAGAGCAGTTAAAACAAACAGACTTGTCTTGTCACATGGGGTGGAAGATTCCAGCAGACCCTTATTCTGTAAGTGGGAGTAAACTCACTAATAAACCCTTATCCGGTTTGTGCAGAGGGGCTGGTGTTTTTTAGCCAAGTCTTTATCCTACTTGTTCTGATGTCCTTGGGTTATTTTAACCTTTGCAGGTTTTCTGTAAGAAGTTTATATATTATTTTTCCATAGGGTGAGGTTGGGAGAGCAGGGTGAAATGAGGCTGAAAGGACTTAGCGAATACCTAGTTTAAATGGGGGCTGTTAGCCATGCTGTAATACAACACCAGTAACGAATCTAGGATGCTAACTGTAAAAACAAGCACATAGCACTATGTCCCAGATCCTATCCTGTTGTTGTTAAGTGCTGTGGAGTCAGTTCTGACTCATAATGACCCTATATAGGGTTTCCAAGGAGCAGCTGGTGAGTTTGAACCACTGACCCTGAGCTCCTATTCTAAGTACTTTGTATATATCAGTAACACTATCTTCACAAAATCCCATGAGGGAGAGACTACCTTCTTTTTACTCCATTTTACAGGTAGGGAAACTGCAGGACAGGAGTCTAAATAATTTGTTGAAACTCATCCAGCTGGTAAGCTACACTGGAACGCAGGCAGTCTGGGTACCCCATCCATGCTCTCAACCGGGGACTACCCTCTGCCTCAGTAAAAATACAATAATTAATAAAGCAAAGTTCCCAAGTGGTTGCTTGTACTCTAGGAAAGGAATGTTGGTGGCATGGAATAAAAGGAATCATGACAGGGTGACATTATTGTTGGTAGGAAAGATGAGGAGTCCACTCCCAGTGGATAAGACAGAAAGCTCACAGACAAAAGAACAGAATGAGAGAGGTATTACTGGAGAAACTGCAAGACAGTGAGCTGGCCTGGCATAAGGAGTGGTGAATAGAAGCATCTCTTCGACCCACTGTAAGTCTGACTCAGAACTTGTCAACGTTTCCTCACTGGCAGAAGAATGGGGAAAGTTACAGCTGGGATGTCTTGGGAGTCTGTTCAGCCTGTGAGCATAACCAGGCCTATCTGTGGCTACTGAAAACAAGTTGAAAATCGTGCTGCAAAGAGCTTATTTTCAAATATGCTACCTCATTTCTCCCCTAGAAAAACTCTTCTATTCACAGGGGGCTAACGATCTACAATGAAATCCATAGAGGTTAAGTGACTCCCCAAAATCTCACAGCTGATCAGCACAGAATCCACATGGAAATTATCTTCCCAACACAGCAGGCCCAACATCCCTGAGCTCTGGACAAAAGGCAGGGTGATCAAGTGGCAAATGTCTCTAATTTTCATGTTCACAGCTGAGCCAGCACAGGAGTCACGTGTCCCAAACAGTCACCTGACCCACTTTTCCTCTATGCATTGGTTCTCAAACTTTATCATGCACCAAAACCTCTTGAAGGACTTATTAAAACACAGATTTGTGGGCTTCACTCCCAGGCTTTCAAATTGAGTAGGTGTGGATGGAATTACATCTAAATTACTATTATGTTCCCAGGTGATGTCGATGCTGTCGGTCCAAGAGAACCACTGATATCTGACGTCATAGGTATCTTCCGCTCCTGTGTCAGAGAGCAGTTATGGGAGTTTGGAATCCTTAGTATAATTCTTTTTCAGGTGTAGAAGTAGAGAGGGTTGTTGTTGTTATGTGCCGTGGAGTCCGTTCCGACTCATAGCGACCCTGTACAGGGTTTCCGAGGCTGTAAATCTTTACGGGAGCAGAAAGCCTCATCTTGCTCCCGCGGAGCAGCTGGTAGTTTCGAACTGCTGACCTTGAAGTTCACAGCCCGATTCGTAACCACTACACTACCAGAGTTCCTTAGAGAGGGCAAGAGGGCAGAAGAAATATCCAACAGGGACTTAAGGAGCTAGTGTTTCACATGATAGCAATCTGGTAAGTAGAAATACCAAGTAAGATTTTTTTTAAAAATCCACAGGAAACAGTGAGATATGCAGTAGATAATTAGATGATAGAATGCTTGTGGGCTGGACAAGTTCCCCTTTCAGTCATAAAATACCATTACCACATCTTTTAAGGAGTTCTGGTAGCGTAGTGGTTATGAATCGGGATGCAAACCTTAAGGTCAGCAGTTCGAAACTACCAGCCACTCCGTGGGAGAAAAATGAGGTTGTCTGCTCCCATAAAGATGTATAGCCTCGGAAACCCAGTACAGAGTCACTATGGGACGGAACCAACTCGGCGGCACTTAACAACAACAACTTTTACCAACTCATGTAGCACCCATATTATGATTTACTCTTTTTTTCCAAACTAACTTATTTTCATATAAATTAGTCTTATCCTAAACAAAAATAAAATATTAGTAATAGTAATCACCAGTACTTACAAACACCATGTGCCAGGTACATACATTCATTTTTACACATGTGCACACATACATGATTGTATATAAATGTACCAAAAAACCACATAGATTTCCATTTCGCTTCTCACAGGAACTCTATAAGGTAGGCATACCAATGTTATCCCCATTCTACAGATGAGGAGACTGAGTCCCAGAAAAGGTACGTAACACTGCCCAAGGTAACAGTGACAACAAGTTTCAGGAATCCAACCCACATAGCTGGCTTCAAAGTCTGTGCTCTTAAACCCTGAAATTGGGGCATTTCGTAGATGTCTTAGGTTCTCAGTACTGCTATATCAGAAATATCGCAAGTAGGTAGCTTTAAAAAACAGAAATTTCTTTTCTTATAGTAGGCTACAAGTTAGAATTCAGGGCACTCATTGGAAGGAGCTCTACACAGGGTTGTTAATTAGTCGGAACCGACACCGACTCCAATTAGTCACACAATCAATTCTAGGGTGGACTCCGGGTGTGGCACTGTAGGATAGGCACTGAACTACGAAGCACAAAGTCGTCATGTGGTGGTTCAAACCCACCAGCTGCTCCTTGGAAACCCTATGCACGGCCACTTAACCGACTCAACGGCACTTCACAACAATGAGGGAAAGGCATTCTCTCTGTGTTGGCGCTGAGAGAAGAAGGTCCTTATCTCTTTTCAGGTTCTGTTCCTCAGTTCCTTGATGGTCTCCATGTGGCATCAACCTTTCTCAATTTTATCTCAAAAGTGATGGCTTATTTCCGATTCGGCCACCACTGCTGCAGCTGCCTTCATAGTGTTTTCCGAGTGGCGGCGTCTTCGTCCACGTCTTTGCACTATGTCCAGCGGACTCCTGAAGGCGTTGCGCTGTGACTCCTCCGTAGAACTGAGCCACTACCGGGACCAGCACTTTTGGGGTGACATTGACGAACAAGAAGAATGAGTAAAGAAACGCTGTCCACTGTATGTTGGAAATCTTTCCTTTGACACCACTGAAGAAACAAATCTATGAACTCTCCAGCAAAAGAGGTGACCTAAAGAAAATCATTACGGGCCTGGATAAAGTGAAGAAAACAGCATGTGGATTTTGTTTTTTGGAGTACTGTTCAAGACCAGATGCAGAAAATGCCATGCAGTACATAAATGGAACTCGTCTGGATGAGCGCGTCATTCGCACAGATTGGGATGCAGGCTTTCAGGAAGGCAGGCAGTATGGCCGAGGGCGCTCAGGTGGCCAGGTACGAGATGAATATCGGCAGGACTATGATGCTGGGAGCGTAGTGGTTATGAATCAGGCTGCGAACCTTAAGGTCAGCAGTTCGAAACTACCAGCCGCTTCGCGGGAGAAAGATGAGGCTTTCTACTCCTGTAAAGATTTACACCCTCGGAAACCCTGTACAGGGTCGCTATGGGTCGGAACCGACTCGACGGCACTTAACAACAACAACATGATGCTGGGAGAGGAGACTAAGGGAAACCGGTAAAAACAAAAAAAAACCAACAAAAAAAAAACGAGTGCGATAGCCCCATGTGGCCCACTTCTACCAAGTTTTCATCAATGTTTCTACTGAATTGGAAGCTTCTTCATAGTATTTCTTTATAAAAATATTAAAGGACAGAATCCAAAATGATATCTTTAATTTTAACCTTACTTACAATCTTGGCCATAGCTCAGGTGACAAGAATGGTTTTCTGTTACTAGGTTAAAAACTGTGTTTCTTAGAGACAGATCGGATCTATAGTGTTAATCTGTCAGCCCAAAACAGTATTTTTAAGAAGCCTGGGGAAATTTTTACATTTGTTTTACCATGTTTTGAATCTAATTAAGTTTATATTATACATTGGGGCATAGAATTAAAAAAAAAAATTCTATGAGGTAAAAGTTTAATAAATGGGATTTTGCTATATTGTATAGCTTTGTTCGACATTAGGAACAGATGGATGTTGGACAGCTGGAATTTTGAATGTGTGTTAAATTCTAATCTCTAAAAGCTAATTTAATGGTCAAGGGACCTTCCTAAATAGTTGGTGCAGAAATAAGCCTTGGACAGCAAGAACCTCAAATACTCTAAAGAGGAGTGGGGATGGTTATTAAAAAGTGGAATGAAATACCAAGGAGGCATGAGTGAAACACAGTGCCTTGAAATTACTCAGGTTGCTGTCTGTGCTGTCGTATTTATAAATTTTCAGAGTGATCTTGGGAACAGAGCAGGTTTTAAAAAGAGCCTGAAGATCAAGATTATTCTTAACAAAAACAAATAGACAAGATTCCCACAGTATATACATTTGAGCCAATTCTCATACTGAAGTCTTTTTTCTGTGGCAAATGAATTGTGCTGAGGTACAGAGCCTGAATAGCAACCTACAGAAAGGGAAGTCTAGAGAATTTATTTGGCATTTATAAAGCCAGAGATAATACTCTCTATCACCTGTTGTTCATTAAAAAATGGTAGTCCAGTATGATTTTTCCTGATACAAGTCCAATTTTTTCACGTAGTATAAACAAGGTACCTTCTAACTTAAGTGGTTTTTTAAAAGTTTAGGGATGACGTACACATTAATGTGACCATCTTTCTTTTATGTTACAGTTAAGTGACTAGGTTTTATCATTAAATTCAAATTGGTTATCTGAATTTTCAAGAGCTGCAACTAGGTAAGAGCTTAAGAAGACATTTAATAAGGCTATGCTACTCATTTCTCTTTTTACACTGTAGTTTGACCTAATGTATTTTATATTCTTTTGTAGTAAAACATAACTTGGATCTCTGCCTGCCTTAAAACCACAAACTGGTACCTATTTGTCTCTTCTGTGAAAGAACACCTTTCAATAAAGTTGGACCAATTAAAAAAAAAAAAAAAGTGATGACTTCATGCACACACCCTGCACAGATATGGTTTCATTTATATAACAAAGAAAACACTATCCCCCAATGAGATTGCCTCAATAAGTATGGTGGTTGTAGTCTTTGTGACCCTGGAGTTCGTTCTGCCTCATAGCCACTACCCTGTACAGGGTTTCATGAGGCAATAAATCTTTATGGGAACAGAAAGCCTCTCTTTTTTACCAAAGAGTGGCTGGCAGATTCAAACTGCTGACCTTGAGGTTACAGCCCAACTTGTAACCCACTACACTAGTAGTGCTTCTTCAACTTGTACGGTGGTGGTAGCGATTGGGTGCCACCAAGTTGGTTCCAACTCATAGCAACCCTGTATAGGGTTTCCAAGGCTATATATCTCTGCCGGAGCATTTCTCCTACGGAATGGCTGGTAGGTTTGAACCTCTGACCTTGAGGTTAGCAGCCTGACTTGTAACAACTATGCTACCAGAGCTCCTTTCAAGAAGTATGTTGTTGTTAAGTCCCAGAGAGTCAGTTCCGACTCTATGACCCAGTATAGAGCTTTCAAGGAATGGTTTGTGAGATTGAACTGCTGACCTGGTGGTTCAAACTGACGTTTCAGTCCTGCACCTAACTTACAGTGCCATACCAGAACTCCTTCACAGAACTCCTTCAACAAGTATATTGTTGTTAAAAGTGCCATTGAGTTGATTCCGACTCACAGTGACCCTGTATAGGGTTTCCGAGGAGCAGCTGGTGAACTTGAACTACCGACCTTGAAGTTCAAACCAACCTTGCAGTCCAGTGCATTAACTCACAGTGCCACACCTCAACGAATATATGGTGGTGGTGTGCTGTGGAGTTGGTTCCGACTCATAGCGACCCTGTACAGGGTTTCCGAGGCTGTAAATCTTTATGGGAGCAGAAAGCCTCATCTTTCTCCCACAGAACGGCTGGTAGTTTCAAACTGCTGACCTTTAGGCTAGCAACCCAACTTATAACCACTATGCTACCAGAGCTCCTTCAACAAGTATAGACCAAGCCAATACTAAACCCACTGTTGTTGACTTTATTCCAACTCACAACAACACTGTAGAAAGTGTGGAATTGCTCCATAGGGTTTCAGAGGAAACCTTTATGGAAGCAGCTTGCCTCGTTTTCTTCCTCAGAGCAGTTGGTGGATTTGAATGGCTGACCCTGTGGTTAGCAGTCCAATGCTTAACCCACTGTGCCACCAGGGCTCCTGATAAGTCTCTCTCTCGCTCTCCTGTTCTCTCCCTCTCTCTCGCTCTCCTGTTCTCCCCCTCTCTCTGTCAACTCCGACTCATAGCGAACCTATATATAAAGGAGCACAAAGTCTCATCTTCCTAATAAGCATACAGGTTAGAATTTACAACATACATTTTTAAGGTGCATAATTCAATCCGTAACAGTAGGTTAATTACAGGGTAGGTGACTGGCCAAAGAACACAAAATTAGCAAGGGATGGAAGCCAAGATTTCAACCCAACTCAACTCTGTCTCCAAAACTTGTAACACTTCATACATTCCCATATGGATTATGAATGGTTATAATGTCTGGAAGAAGTGCTGAGCTGGGATGGGATTGTAATATAAGCTGCAACGTGGAGAGGAACGTAAAGCTTTGCCTAAAATAAGTTCTGGAGACAGCTCCCTTTTTGAGCTGGGGTGAAGATGTCACCGTCTCATTAACCTTTAGTTAAAAACAAACCCAAAGTTGACTTGCTAATTCATACCGTGAAGACAACTGGTTTTGTTTGGATTTTTCAATTACCCAAGAGATGTCAATCAATTTAGGCCTTGTACGAAATTAACAATCTCTGCAGTTCTTCCTCTGGGCAAAAGTAACAACCGTCTGGGGTAGAAAGCAACCTGCAGGCGTGGAGGGAAGAAGACAAATTATCACTTCAAAGAACTAAGGCAAAGGTAAATTCTCAGAGTTTAAGGGGAAAATCTCTCAAGTCGTTTTTTTCAAAGAACCAAGGCCAAAAGATGAATAATGGAATTCATTGTAACGCATCTTGTCTACCTAAACTAAGAGACTTTTAGGAGTGCCTGAGGAGGCCGGGGTTGTCTCTCTCAGATCTCAGAGAGAGGACACTGGGAAAGAGAAGATGTATGGGAACAAGAGCTAAGCCTACTCTCCACACACAGAGTAGACTGAGAGGGGCAACTTGGACATTGGATACCCAATGGGGAGGAAGGGACTACAAAGGCAAGAAGTAACTGGCTTACAAGCTTTCAAAAGGGAACCTAGAGCTAGGGGGCATGGAGGAAGGTAGAATCACCAGTGAGTACTATCCAATTTGTCTAGGTGGAGCTGATGAAATGAAATACAGATGGGTTACATGCGATACCGTAGTGAATAATGGTTATCAAGACGGATTGTGAGGGTTGGAAATGCAAGGGTAGATGTTTTGTAGCAAGGAAGAGAGTGATTATTTCTCCAGTCTAGCAGTGGAGGTCTCTGGGACCACCAACGGATAAGAGCCGAGAACGGGACCCCACCCAGAGAACCGGGGATGCCTGAGATGGAGACAGAGATGATGACATGGAGGGATGAAGCGGCTGGGGACTTTGGATCCAGAGAGGGAGAGGAACTGTGGGCCGAAGACTGAGGCGGGGAGGGGGAGTGTAGAGCACGGGCTTCTAGGATATGCCCTTTGGTCGGAAGACAATGCATGGAGGGGATTGGAACCATGGCAATGTAATGATATACGATGGAATGAATATGGAACTGAGGTTCTCTCATGTAAACTATCATATAATTCACAATAAAACATTAAAAAAAAAAAAAAGAGCTAAGCCTAATTCCCCAGGCAGTAATGGACTAAGAGGGCTCACTTGGACTTTGGACACTTTTTTGGGCTAGCTGGAGCTCCATGACTTAAAAGTCAGTAGCCCCAATTTTTACGAAATGTACTCTGATGGTCAGGCATGCCAGGTGATGCAAAACACCAGAGATGGACCTGCTTTGGCTGGATCATGCTGAGAAGGGAACAGGAACTTAATCTGTCGTCCTGGGTGACAGTGGGGGAGGAAGGGAGGTGAAGAAAGAGCAGAAGGAGAAGTAAGAACCAGTTGGAGAGTAAATAAAAATCAATTGAAAGAATCCTCCAAAGAAGAAAGTGTAAATCAAACAGATTGCAGATGTACAAAGAGACCTGAAAGGAAAGGTGGGACTTGAGAGATCCATTAGATTCATAGGGGTAGAAATTTGGAGAGATGTTTAGCTGCCTCAGGAAGAACTCACTGACTACTCCTCATCCCTCTGATATATGACTTCTTGAATAAGGAAGCTCTATGTCCCAAGGAAAGAAGAGGTCAAAGTGCTTACCGACATGCACCCCTAGCCCTGCCGTGTGAAGATGTTTCCTGGGATAGACTGTGAAAACCCTTCACTGTCCAGGCACCTTCACCATGGTGGTGCTGGGTGCAAAGAGATACTGGAACACACAGCAGAGAGTGGGAGGTGCCACTATTGGGAGCAATCTGACAGGTAACAACAGTGAAGAGAGCCAACTTGAAAAAGAAGTGTGATCTAAAGATTGCGGGAAGCAGAGGCTTAGATTGGTAGCCACGTCAAAGAACACAGGCAGGTTACCTGGTTTTCTAACTCAGCAATTTTCCAAGGTTGAGACACACTGGTATGTGGCAAGTAGAGGCAACAAATGCAAGTCACTGGTTCCTAATAATATTGAAAGGTCCAGGTTTGTAAGTTTAAGTAAACTAAAAGATGAGTAGTAAATGGTTACTAATTTCATCCTTCATTATGGGTATTCCATTATCCTTTCTAGAGGGAGCAGGAAGGAATAACATCACAGAACAGCAGGACTCACCCAGAGCTCCCTCCTTCTATGCTTTGGGAACAAGCCCTTCCCACTCAGTTTCTGTACCATCCTAAAAGCCAAGCCACTCAGAGCCAGGAGGACCAGATTAGAGATCTCAGCTGGAAATGCAGACACTGTGTGCATGGGGATATGATCCTGATCTGCTGAAGGCCACTGCATGGAGCAGTCTTACTAGAAAGAACCATCAAACCCCTCTTTTCCTTCAAACCAAGTTTGCCTTTCTCAGAAGAGGCAAAGAAACGTCTGTGAAAATAAGAGAATTTAGCACCGATGAAACTCGGTGACGGTCATTTTTCTTATCTCCTCTTCTTCGTAAGGCTCGAGATTCCAAACTTCAAAATCCTCACAAGAACACTTCTCATCCAAGAAGGGTAGAAGCCGAAAGTCTGAGATGTCTAGGAGAGGAAATAGAGTAAGCTTTCCTGAGATATTGTTGTTGTTGTTGTTGTTAAGTGTCTTCGAGTCAGTTCCAACTCATAGTAACCCTGTATAGGGCTTCCAAGGAGTGGCTGGTGAGTGTAAACCACCGACCCTGTGGTTCAAACTGACCTTGTGGACCAGTGCTTTATGGGAAATTTGATGAGGAGAATCAATCCAGATCACAAGGCTTTCAATAAGCATTCGAACAAGAAGTGGAAAAGGAGAGACTAACAGGTGTTTAAAGAAGCAACTGATAGAAGCCAAGTATGTTAAGCATGAGCAAAGGAACATAAAATCAGGGTGGTATCTTACCCTAATTTTTCTTAACTCAAGCAGAACATTCTCAAAGACCTTTACTTGATCCCACACTTTTCTTTTATCAATGACAAGTCTGGCAGCTTGATTACATAGCCCACAAAGACAATGTTCTACATCCTACATTGGAAAATAGCAACTGGGATCTTAAAGCTCATGAGCAGTCTTTTAAGGTACAACTAATGGTGTCTCCCCATCTGGAAGAAAGAAGAATGATGAAAATTGAAGACACTTGGAAACAATTAGTTCAATAGACTAATGAACCACATGAACATCAGTCTCCATGACCCTGAGACCAGAAGAACTAGATGGTGCCCACCTACCACTACCAACTGCTCTGAAAGGGCTCACAAGAGAAGGTCCTATAGAGTGCAAGAAAACGTGGAACTAAATTCAAAATCATAAAAACACAGGCTTACAGGTCAGATAGAGACTGCTGGAACCCTGAGACTAAGGGCCTTGGTCACCCTTCAGGTGGGTCTGAACTCATCACCATGGCTCACCAAGGGCAGCAATTACCCAAGGACAAAATCAGAAAAGTGGGGAAAGGAGGAGGAATGGAGACAAGAACCACAGAGGATGTGGGATAAGCCATGTTACACTGAAGGGACTGCAATCGAGATGAAAAGAAGTGTATGATTGTTGTTGTTGTTGTTAGGTGTCATCGAATTGGTACCAACTCATAGCAACCCTATGCACAACAGAATGAAACACTGCCCGATCCTGGGACAACCTCACAGTTGTTGCCACGCTTGAGCCCATTGATGCTGCCACTTTGCCAATCCATCTTACTGGGGTCTTCCTCTTTTTCTCTGACCCTCCACTTTACCAAACATGATATCCTTCTCCAGGGACTGGACCCTCCTGACAATATGTCTGAAGTATGAGAGATGAAGTTTGACCATCCTGGCCTCCAAGGAGCACTCTGGCTACAATGCTTCCAACACAGATCTGTTGGTTCTTTTGGCAGCCCATGGCACTTTCAATATTCTCCTCCAACACCATAACTCAAAAGCATCAATTCTTCTATGGTCTTCCTTATTCACTGTCCAGCTTTCACATGCATATGAGGTTATTGAAAACACCATGGCTTGGGTCAGGTGCACCTTAGCCCTCAAGCTGACATCTTTGCTCTTCAACATTTTAAAAAGGTCTTGTGCAGCAAATTTGCCTAATGCAACACGTCATTTGATTTCTTGACTGCTGCTTCCATGAATGTTGACAGTTGATCCAAGAGAATGAAGTCCTTGACAACTTCAATCTTTTCTCCGCCAAAGATATCGATGTTTATGCGTTCCACTGCATTTTTGACAATTTCTAATTTTCCTAGATTCATACTTCATACATTCCATGTTCCAATTATTAATGGATGTTTACAGTTTTTTCTCTTCATTCTGAGTTGTGCCCCATCAGCAAATGAAGGTCCCGTGGGCTTTACTCCATTTGCATCATCACAGTCAACTCTACTCTGAGGAGGCAGCTCTTCCCCAGTTGCATTTTGAGTGCCTTCCACCCTGAGGGGCTCATTTTCCAGCACTGTATCTGACAGTGTTTCTGTGCTACTCATAAGATTTTCAGTGACTAAATATTTGGAAGTAGTTCGTCACTCCTTCTTCTTAGTCTGTCTCTGTCTGGAAGCTCATCTAAAACCTGTCCTCCATGTGTAACCCTGCTGGTATTTAAAATACCGGTGGCATAGCTTCCAGAATCACAGCAATTCACAAGGCACCACAGTACGACAAACTGACAGACAAGTGGTAGAAATGTGATCTGTTCTGTAAGCTGTCACTCAACTCACAATGAAAAGTTAAAGAAGTAAATCAAAGATGGGGTTGGGGGGAGTCTGGCAGCTTCATCTGCATCTTCAGCTCAATACTGACAAACCTGACTCTCCTCTCCTTTCAGGGCAGCTGAGGCCATGGCCCATGTCAGATGCTTCTGGGCAAGTGACGTTTTGTCTTTGTCTAGTCTTGATTTTGGTTCCACAGTAGGATTCTCCATGGCCTATGAGCTCCGTGGTTCATGGCTAGAAATGGTACTGAGAGTTAAAGCAGTGCGGATTCACCAGACACTTCAAGATTTCCCTCTATTCTCCAGGTGGGACAGCTAGGATTTGGATGGCTCATCTCCTATCTCCTATCCCACAGTGCTGTGTTTGCATTCTTACACTAAGACAGGAAAGACACATCTGTCAAAAGAAAATACAAATGCAATCTACAGAATCTAAAAATTTCCCAATGACAATGAGTTAAAGCGATGCCTAACAGAATGAGCACATCCGATGTGTCTCGAAGACAAACATAACCTCTGGTAGCGTAGTGGTTACAAATCGGGCTGTGAACCGCAAGGTCAGCAGTTCAAAACTACTAGCTGTTCCATGCGAGAAAGATGAGGCTTTCTGCTCCCGTAAAGATTTATAGCCTCGAAAACCCCGTACAGGGTTGCTATGAGTCAGAACCAACTCCACGGCATATAACCACCACCACCACTGTTGGAACTTGATTTAAATTATGTTCACCCACTGACATAGTGGGTGTTGGTTACAAGCCTATGTACAGATGTTAATATCCATCAGCTGTGTTTTATTGTATGTACACTACACTTCAATAAAAACAATTTATAAAAACACTCTCTAAAATCCCACACGTTTTTATGGTCACTGTAAATATGTTAGTCTTAGAAGTTTTTGTTGTCCATATTTGCTATTCAAGAGTTGTATAATGTTGGCACATTCCTCTTCTTCCTTACCAACAGAATGCCAATTTTGTCAAGTTGGTAACATTCCCCGTTACTATTTACCTTCTCAGACTCTCTTTGACCTAGAAGTGGCCATGTGATACAGGAATAGCAAATGAGACGTAATCAGATATCTGGTGATTGGGGCTTCTGGGAAATCTTATAATTCTCTTGATTAAGTAACGGATTAATCTAGTTTTGCCCTCTGTACTCCCCACCCCTATTTTTCTGCTCAAACTATACAGTAGATATTTCTTATAATCACGAACGAAAGTCAAAATCTACAGATGGTCAGACAAGAATCCAGAAGCTTGGGTTGTTGATAATTGTTCTTAAACGGCAGCACCAGACTTGAACTGTTTCTTTCTTGTTTCATGAGAAAAATAGTTCTCTAGGTGTTAAGTCTCTGTAATGTGGGATTTCAGGCACATCTGACAATCGTGTGGCACTACAGGATAGGCACTGCACCAGCAACCTAAAGGTCAGCAGTTCAAATCCACCAGTTGCTTTCAGAAACCCTATACAGGGTCGCTATGAGTTGGAAGCTACTCAGTGGCACTTCACAACAACAAGCAGAGAGATACACACTTTAGACCTCCCAAGCTAAGACAGTCTGCATGCTCTCAATCCACTTTCGCAAGCTAAGTCTTCACTGATTATTTCTGGTGATGGAAAGTGTTGGTTCAACACGAACAGAATCCCCGTTCATATAAACTTTCCTAAGAACTAGTCTTACAGTATTACAACAATTGCATCACTATTTCTCAATCTATTTTTAACCAATTCCCACTTTCGATAAACACAAACTTTACTTTTTGTGGTTTGTATGAAGAAAACCTGAAGTTTTCCCCCTTCCAAGAAAATTTCCAAGCCGTTTCAAAACAACATATATTACGGTTCTCTGTTCTCACACCTGGGAAATTCTGATACACTACTCCACACACTTCTTGAGGGTCCGTGGTTCTAAATTAAATTTAAGTCTATGAACTGAAAGAAGCCCTGATAATTCACAGCTACCAAAGGAGGGTGAGTTGCATATGTCACAGAAACAAATGAGGTGAGGGAAGCAGCGGGAAGGCTGGGCTGAAAAACAAAACACAAAGTATTCAGCTTCGAGCCTGATTTGACTCACTCTTTGCAGGATCAGCCAGCACTGCAGTGATATCCAGCTTTATAGAGGAAATCTCTGCTACTTCCAGTTCTAGAAACTTCCCCCGCTCCTCTGCTCAAAGTCAACACTAAGCTAGATAGCCCGAGATGATAACCAACTAACTTCTGCTTGACCTGGAAGGGGTGTGTGTGTGTGTGTGTGTGTGTGTGTGTGTGTGTAGGGGTTGAGAGTGGGGGAGACTTTTTAGTTCTGTTCCTGATCTGAAGATCAGCTCTGCATAGACAGCAGGGAGGAAGCAAAAGGTCAGACAACCTCTTCAGGATTGGAATAAAGGAGTCATTCTCCTCCCAAATTCTTATTTCAGTTTCGCAATCATATTCACATCTTCCTAAACATTAATGCAAATCATAAAAGCTAAATGACACAAGTAAATCTGGTAGAGAGAAACAGTCAAGACAGTCTATTCACTGTTATTACAAAATGTTTAGAGATAGAAAGGGAGAGACCAATGGAAAGAGCATAGCATCTGGGATCTGGGGTTAAAACAGGAACTAGAATATACAAAAGGCTAGATCTAGCTGCCTAGATCCTGTGAGATTAGGGGTGAAGGTCAGGCTTTCATAGTTTTGGGGGAAGTCTGGTGACGGTGCAGATACTCATTGTGGGAAGCAGATGACATGTTCTATCTGGTCTTACATTCTTGTCTGTTTCCTTGTGTCCTCCTTTGTTGGAGCCACAGGACTTCCAGGTCTGGTAAGACAGTTAGTACTAATCCTAACCCTCACAGTACAATGGGGACTAAAGGACCATGGTAAAGATCCTGGACAACAGATTTAGACTGCTTGCTGACTGGGTTCCAGGATCAGAGCTCAGCTCCTCCATTTATTTGCCAGCTGTAGAACTTTAGAAAGATTAATCTCTCTATGCCTCAGTTTCTGCATCTATAAAATGAGTATGATGAAGGTGTCAATCTCATGGAATGTTTTAAGGATTCAATAAGGTCTTCTTTGGAAAGTGCTTAGTGTAGTGCCTGCCACAGAATACCAGAAAATGAACAATGGTTGTTGGCTGATGTATTAGTTTGCTATGACTGCTATAACAAATGACCATGTACAGAGTAGCTTAAAGCAACAAAAAATTCATTTTAGAAGTCACAGGCCCAAAATCAGTGTTACTGGGCAGAAACTGAGGTTCTGGGAGGGCTTTCTTATTCCAGTTTTTGTTGGCTGCCAGCATTCCTTAGCTTGTGACAGCATCATTCTAATTTCTGTCTCCTAGTCACCAGCTAAGGCGCTCTCGTAGTATAGTGGTTACGAATCAGGCTGTGAACCACAAGGTCAGCAGTTCAAAACTACCAGCTGTTCCACAAGAGAAAGATGAGGCATTCTGCTCCTGTAAAGATTTACAACCTCGGAAACCCTGTACAGGGTCGCTATGAGTTGGAACCGACCACAGCACACAGCCACCAGTCACCAGCTGCTCCTTGGAAACCCTACACAGGGTCACTATGGGTTGGAACTGACTCAGCAGCACTTAACAACAACAACAGCTAGTAGGACTTCTGGTGAAGCACTGTGGATCAGCAGTGGACTGTGAACTACACGGTCAGCAGTTCAAACCCACCAGCTGCTCCTCGGAAATCGTCTACAGGGTCACCAGCAGTCGGAACCGACTCAGTGGCACTTAACAACAACACAGCTGGTAGGGAGTCCTAGTGTAGCACTGTAGGATAAATAGTGGACTTCCAACCACAGGTGAGTGGTTCAAACCCAGCAGCCACTCCTCAGAAACCCTAAGCAGGGTGACTATTAGTAGAAACCAACATGACGGCACTTAACAACAACACAGCTGGTAGTATTGGCCAGCAGTGAAATCTACTTAAAATAAAGCCGGCAGACAAAGACTAAAGGAAAAGAGGTCTCCACATGGGGAGACTGGAGTATGATTACCTCCAGATGATATGGGTGGCAACACTCATGGATGTCCACCTTGTTGTTGTTGTTGTTAAGTGCCGTTGAGTTGGTTCTGACCCTTAGTATCCCTCTGTAAACAGAACACAACCTCACCCAATCCTGTGCCATCTTCACAATTGCTGCTACACTTGAGCCTAGTGTTGCCGCCATTGTGCCAATCCATCTCTTTGGGGGTCTTTTTCACTGTCCTTCCACTTTACCAAGCATGATGCCCTTCTCCACACACTGATCCCCTCTGATAATATGTCCAAAATATGAGAGACAAAGTCTGGCCATCCTAGCTTCTAAGGAGCATTCTGGTTGTACTTCTTCGACACAGATTTGTTTGTTCTTCTGGCAGTCCATTGCTGTTGTTAAAGTGCCATCAAGTCAGTTCTGACTCAAAGAGATCCAGTACAGGGGTCTCAAGGAGTGACTGGTGAGTTTGAACCGCCGACTTTGTGGTTCAAACCAACTTTGCAGTCCTGGACTTAACCACAGTATCTTTAATATTCTTGTCCAACACCATAACTCAAGTGCATCAATTCTTGTGCAATCTTCCTTATTCACTGTGCAACTTGCACATGCCTAGGAGGTTATTGAAAATACCACGGCTAGTGTCAGATGCATCTTAGTCCTCAAACTGACACCTTTGCCCTCAAACACTTTAAAGGGGTCTTGTGCAGCAGATATGCCTAATGCAATATGTTGTTTGATTTCTTGACTGCTGCTTCCATGTGTTGATGGTTGATCCAAGCAAAATGAAGTCTTTGACAACTTTAATCTTTTCTTCATTTATCATGATATTAAAGTCAGTGGTGAGGAGTTTTGCTTTCTTTACATTGATGTGCAACCCATACTGAAAGCTGTGGTCTTTGATCTTCATTGGTTAGTATTTTAAGTCCTTTTCACTTTCAGCAAGCAAGGTTGTATCATCTGCATATTGCAGGTTGTTAATGAGTCTTCCTCTATTTCTGATGCCAGGTTTTTCATACATTCCATCTTCTCAGATTATTTGCTCAGGATACAGATTGAACAAATTTGGTGAAAGAAACAACCCTGGTGCACACCTTTCCTGATTTTAAACCATTCAGTGTCCCCTTGTTCTTTTCTAA